AGCGACTACTGACGTCAACCGCCACCAGTCGCCGGCCACCATCACTGTCAACCATCGCTTCCACCCTCCAACAACCACCACCGCCGTTAGTGGCCACACCTACTGGTCACCCACCACCACTGATCACCGCCCGGTTGCCATAATTATGTTTCTCAATTATGTTTGGATATGTGTTCAAATTTTAAATTTTGTAATAACTTTGAAGAAATTAATACAAATGATACATTATGAAGAAATTATTTTTATTGAATAAAATTTAAATGAACATGTTGATAGAGTTATAGAAGATTTTAAAAGCATTCATGGTGGCTAAAAGTTTCGAGGGATTAATGGTGGTAAAAATATATTAAATTTTTCTCTAGTTTATGATTTTATAATTACCAATGCCTTATTTAAAAAAAGAGAGGAGCATGTCATCACTTAGGAAAAAGGATAAAATAAAACTCATATTGATTACTTTTTTATAAATAAAATAAATTGTTTAAATTGCAAAATTAAAAAGTAATTCGGAGTGAAAGTTTATGAACCAAGTATCACTAATTAATTTTAATTTCAAGATGAAGGGGTGGAATATAAAAAATAAAATAAAATTTTATATAAAGATTAGATGGAGACATTTAAAGATCATAACAAAAATACTTTTTAGAATAAGATTTAAGATCTTAAAATTTTAAATATGTATGAGAAAGCTAATGTTATGTGAAAAATATAACTAATAATATTAAAAATATTGTAAAAAAAAATGCTGGGAGCATCAAAAGAAAAAGCTCATATTTGTAAAAATAATTGGAGATAGAACAAAATATGCAATAAAAGATAAAAAAATAAAAAGTTTTGTAATAAAATTTGATTTGTATAAAAAAGCTCGAAAAATTGAGAAAGATATAAAGAGGCATGTAAGGAGTCTAAGAAAGTAATATGCAAGAAAATTTAACTTTAATAATTTTTATAATAGATTAGATGCTAAGGAGGGCAAAAAAGATATGTATAAATTTTTCAAGCCAAGAGATAGAATAATTAAAAATTTAGTTCAAATAAAGTGCATTAAGGATAAAGATTAAATAGTCTTTTATTAAAAGAGGATATTCAACAAAGGTAGATGAGATATTTTGATATGTTTTTTAATGAAAATTGTGAGAATATGATTGACTTATTTATGAAAAGTCTTTTAACATTTCATTGAGTCAATTGATGTTATATTTGTGTTATTTGTTATTCATCATTTCATTCACGCATTTAAAAAAAAGGTAAAAATGTTTGAATACATAATTATGTATAGGTATTCAAAAGAATGTTAGATATAATTCAAACCACGAAAAAAGATATTGCATAAAAATATATAATATTGACAAATGAAAGTGATAATAATTGTATGCGTATATTTTATGTGACAAATGAAGATTACAAATTAGGAGATGAAGTTAATATAGAAAATGAGGCTTTTTTACATTTGGTGATGATAATGATGATGATGACTACTCCAAACACATTGAAAATTTATGAACTACTTGAAAACTATACATCCTTTTAACTATTCTATTTGTTTTTATCACCAAGATTTCATCCTTTTGGACTCATCAAAATCCCTATGTGTACCTTAATAGCTTTCGATTTGGACACTCTCCAGCCTTGGCCAACACAGTATCACACCACGTCTCCAATTACATCTATAACAACTCTAAACCTTTGTACCATTTTAAAAATCCTTTCTTAAATTTACGCCTTTAAATCCATCCAAAACAATGCATCAGTATTTTCTGATTGAATTATTGCAAACGCTATTGGATAAATATGAAGAATATTTGCATCTGAGCTATAATCACAGGGCAACACATTAGTATCTTGTATTGAGAAATATATCATCGACATTTAGCAGATAAATACATACATCATTGCAACTTTGAATACAAAAACCCAAATAAAAATAATGCAGTTGAAATATCCTACAGTGCCAAGCTGCATATCAATCATTTTGCCTGAATTTTTGTTATTTAGCAAGAAAAAAATAAAGGATGGTAGTTTTGAAAAGAAAATTCAAGGAAACCTCTTACATAAGAGATAGCATGCTCATAATAGCACTAAGTCATCTTTTCATACAAATCAATCTCATAGTCCCTATTATAATCAGATATTATCATCTTGGGTTTCAAATTGGGATCAAATAAAACAAACTTCTCCTTAATGATGTGACTGCTAAGTCATGGTTGAGCTTATCGATTATCAGCTCCAACATCCAAAAACAAAATGTTTTGATATATGGCTTTGAACCTCAAAAATTTTTCAAAAGTGCACTAGATATACTAAATATCTTTCTCTGATGTTTTAACCATGAACAAAATTTTTTTCTTTATTGCATAGAGATATAACCAAGAACAACAACATTAAGCCTTCATTCCACTACATAGGGTCGGCTAAATGAATCTTTTTTTCCATTATGTCCTGCATAGAGATATAACCATTTCTTCAAATTGTCTTTTCTCTCAAAAATCTAACCATTTTATATACATTGAATATAGACTCAAACATGATGTCATTATATCAACACTCAATCCACTAAAAGTACTCTCAGACAATGACATTATAGTATAGGTGTCATCAATGTGTTCTCAATGTTGATAAAATTTATTTTACTACCCAGGGTACATGAAGAACCAAAATACTTTACTCATTAGATCCAACTACATCACAAACTAATGTGGTCATCTCGAATGAATGCTTTAGTAATAAAACATAAATGGAACCAATGACCATCTTCATCATATTTGTCTTTAACGTTACCTTTGTCTACTCTCAAATCCACGTATGTTACATTATCAGTAGATAAAATACTTGGTATTATATTATGCCGATTTACTAGCAACTGCTATATCCATTTAGGAATGCTTGATTAGCTTTAGCTACGATCTGCAATTGAATTCTTTTCCTCCACATTCGACACAAATGGATGAGTGATGTTGAATTGATATTTAAATTTCAAAGTAGAATGTAAGATCATACTATGTAACTACTATTGTTGGAGGAATTGAGATGTCATGAGTTGTACTGCGCCAAGATGATACACCACCTCCAACTCCAAATGAATTTGGTTCTTATCAACCTTGATAACTATGTGTAGAAAATCTATGAGACCTTCAAGGGAAAGAAGTCAACGATCCTTTATTGTGTTTAACAGTAAATGTTCAACTAACTTAGTTGTCATCTTTCCATTTTCCCTCACACAATACAAGAATATTGATGCTTAATTTACCTAAAAGAACAGTCAAAAGGAAATTCTCACAAAACAACAAAAGCAAGATTACTAGGATGGTTAGAATAAAGGTCAAACCTTGTTCAACTTATTTCAAACATTTTCAAATTGAAAGTGCTAACAAATAAATCAGGTTTCAACAAGGTTTAAACAAGGTTCAAACATCGGTCAACAAAGTTTGAGCAAGATTTAAACTAAGTTCCAACATTACTCGAACTTGATTTTAGCAAGTTTGAACTAAGTTTATTCTACTTTGAATAAGGTTCCAACCTAGTTCACATAAGTTTCAAACCATATTCAACACTCTTTTGGTTGTACATGTTTGAACCTGTTTTGACCATTGAGAAAACATGGTTTAAAGTTCGAACCTATAACTACAACACACAATCTGGCTTTATGTTATCTTATTATGAAAATGATTGCAATCTTAATTTCCATAGATATATTCTTCCACATATCCGATATATGATATAAATCACTAAAGGAATTAGTTCAATCATATGCCAATAGCATCACCTAAACTTTAGAAATGCTTCCAGCTAAGTGCTAAAGTACGATAAAGAAAAAAAAAGTGTCAAAGTTCGATAATAATACTTCATCGAATTCAATTACACCACCGTAATCTTATTAGTCGCTATAAGATCTCTCAAAAATATAAGAACAAAGAAATCAGTAATTGATGTAGGAAGAAATGCAAGATAGCAAATGGGCTAGCTAGGGAAGTTGTTACTACGTTCAAGCGAGATGTAATTCGACAGGAATATATTCCTTTTAAAGATATTTTACTACAAAAAAATGCTTTTGGGCATATTTAGGCAAATAAAAACATAAGAAGTATATTAGGACAAAATTGTGCGTTGAGAGGTGCATAAAATCAAATTTCCCAAATATAATTTTGTTCAATATAACCTAAAGCCATATGAATAAATGCTACAATTACATTTTCATTATGTGAAGCAATTAATTTCCAAAAGTCAACATGCAAAAATATAAAAAATTGATAAGCAATATAAAAAGAAAACTGTACATACCCCTAGAAGCTTTCTAGGTGATTAACACTGTATAACTCCATACTTATAGGAAGTTGAAAAAGAGTTAAAGTGCATGCCTAATCTTTTTGAAAGAGTGTATAAAATAACTCAGGTCCATAACCCGAGTATTTTCAAACAATTCCAACATGTAGTCTATAAGTGCACAAAACAAAGAAAAAGTTAAAAATTAAATATAAACCAAGATAAATAAGCATGTAAAAGGTGAACATATGATTCGGGAGAAAAATACACAACGAATGCCTGAAGCAAGTAAAATTTCCAATAAGAAAACAAGTATATCAAGCATGCTAATCATGAAGACAAATTTCTAATTGAAAAAGGGAAAGCTAAATTTGTTTATATTAGAATTCAGTAAATTACAGAAAAAAAAATATATCATCTGAAGATATACAAATATTAGATCAAATTAATATTGAGAAGAATTTCTTCAGAATTTAAAAAGGGTAAAGTATGTGTTTCTCCGTAATGAGAACACGGCCAGACTAAATAATATCTACGAAGAAACTTATTAGAATAGTTTGATAAACAGAATCCAGAACATACGTGACGATTAAAGATTGTATATCTGTAGTATGATCATTTTTGACAACCCAAAGTCAAAGTCCATAAATAAAGGATGTTACCTTAGAAATCAACATTTATCAGTTATCACATTTATTCTTATAAAAGGAATCTTTGAAGACTTAAGCATGAAATCACACCTGAAATGCCGATAAGGGCAGCCATGATGATCACCAACACTTGGAGTAACAGAGATTATCTTTTGACAGGAATAAGGTGTATAATCCTGAGCCAAACAAGCAGCAATGTTTGTAACAATATGCATACATAACTCCAAATGTATTCATATAGGCAATGACATGAGACACTTACCGTCCTTTTCCCTTCTTTTCCATAGTTATGACGTACTGCGTATGCGTATTCTTTATCAAATCGCTCATTTCCAACCTAAATCAACAAAAACATTGTGTATTAATTGTGCTGAATACCAATGGCAGTTCTTTCCCTAAAATAATAAAAATGGATGAAAGCAACGGTGAACAAAAATTACTAAAAACTAGTAAGATAAGAAACAGGACAAATGTCATTACCCTCGATCATTTTGGGCATCATTGGAGGTCAGCATAGAACTAAACAATACAATTTAGCAAGATAGCTGAGACTGAAGATTTCACTAATAATTTCCTTCAACTTGTTTCTTACCAATAACTCCAACTAGAACAACCCACACTTGCAAATTTGTCTTACCCTCCAATTAAAAGAACAGAGGATCTCTCAACTTGAACAACGCATCCCCACCCACTCATTTCCGAATTCTTGATCTCATTTCTTATCTTCAACTCTGAAGAATTCCATTACATCCATTCTACTAATAATGATTTTGCGGGAAAACAAAACAAGTCAATTAAATGCCCATCTTGATAAATACCAAATCCTCCAAGTGAAATCAGAGTCTCTCCTAGTCCTTATTATTAACCAAGCAATAGGATTTAGAAATGCGCGCAACTCTAGCGCAGAATGTTTTTCAAGCCTCTATAGCAATCCGGAAATACACGGATTGGATCTTGAAATAAGTTCAGTTAGAAAAAAAAATAATATTAAAACACTCTAAAATACCATATATTATGAGTAAAGAAGTTCAGGTCAATTCAAAGAACTAAAATAAACTAAATAATAGAAAATATAGAAACCGAGAGTCTAATTGATGAGGACATCGATAGACGTTATCGACGAGTACATCAGCATAGGAATCGTAGATCGATGGCTACGATTCACAGTCTTTATTTTTTATGCTTTTATATATTATTTGCTATTTACGATTGTACCCTTTATTTTGAGTTTGCTTGAGTTGTAGCCCAAGGGGCATTTGAGTCATTGTTGTTTTTATTTCTCTAGGCCTATATAGTGTGACCTCTTGTATTGTAAAAGGATGATGATTTGATGAATGAAATTCTAGTTTGTTTTCTTAGTGATCTCTTTGTGAGTTCATGTGTGTGGTGAAACCTAGGAGAGGCCAACAGAGTACCCAAAAGCCCGCCAACAGGTGAGCTCTTGGTTTTTCTATTTAAATTGTATTCTACCTCCTCCCTCCTTCCCCCATACCGCCAACAACCATTCCATATTCCTCAAATCGATAGCCTCACCCCTTGCTCCCATTACTCTCCGCCCTCTCCACCCCTCTCAAGCCACTTGCCGCCTCCCCAACCCGACGGCCTCCCCTCCATCCCTCCTCCCACCAGCAAAAATCCCCTCTCCCAATCCCACCGCCGGCCACCCTTTTTCTTCCCCACTTCATGTTTGTTTAATCACCATTAAGACCTACTTAATTTAGCCTACATGATTTTGAAAAGCACTCATCCAATTTGAAATTCAAATTTGAATTTCAAATACTTTCCTAAATTAGCCAAGCTAAATTAGGTAAGTTTTTCAATTCAAATCTAATTTAATACTAAATTAGATTGGATTTCCTTTCCATTGCCTAAATTGGATTAATGCATTAGGAAGCATTAATTTCTCTCCCCATCTCCCTCCTCTAAGCATGCCGCCGGCCCCCCTATTTGGAACCACTAATTTCTTTTTCTCTCTCCACATTGACATTACCTGAATTTGGATTTGAAATTCAAATTCAAACTCATAATTCCCACCCACTAATTAATTCCAAAATCTGAATTTAATTTCAGATTTATCCATTTTCTATCCTCCACCCCAAACCCTAACCCTCACTTAGCCGAGAAACTCCTCTAACCTTTGGCGACTCCCCTTCCCTCCCTCTCATCTCTTGAGTTTACTTCTTCTCATGATTAGCAGAAAGAGGGAAAGAGACTACAACTTTCCCCACCACTTCTTGCCAATGCAAGGCCGATCCCGATGTTGATCATGGTTTCGAATATGATAATCAAGGACGAATGGACATTTTGCACTCTCCCTTTTTTGGCCTAAATTTGGACGTCGATGATTCAAAGGAAAGCTATCTTGACCTCATCCTCTTCACGTCGGCACCTTCAATTGAAGAGCATCTCCCAACCGGTTCGTGGAAGATCTTGGGACATCAACCTATCCAACCATCTCCAGCTACCTTTCCAACAACGAAGTTCCTAGGGTCCTTCTTCCTAGTGGTGATCTCTTCTCTAGTGTGGAGCATCTTCATCTGCTAAACCCTAGAGTAGTTGAGTGAGGAGATCCTCAAGGTGAAATCTCTTTTTATCAAATTACGGATTGTTGTTAATGCGCTCATAATTTTACTCTTGTCTTTGAGATTTGATTAAATTGTCTTGTTAATCTACGTGTACTTCTTTGCCTAAACAAGTTGAAGATTACGAACTCCTAAAATCTTCGTTTGTTGTCACTATAACTTTATATTGGAAAGCTTTTAACAATTGATCTTATTAATTTCTTGTGAACTCCTTGCATGTTTCACATCACTAACTATACGGTGAAGATCTTCAATTGGCCCTTTGCTCCAATTCTCAACAACAATATTCATTATTATTTACATTTGTGGGACAAAAGAGCTAAAGAAATGGATAATGTGATTTTAAATTAATATTTACCTTTCATCCCACTTTGCAAAAAAAAAGTCTATTAATAAGTTCGACTAATATTGTTTTCGTTAGACCGCATTAAACGACATAGAATTCAATCATGTTGACCTGTGTAATGAAGACAAAAAAATTTAAAATCCCAAACCTACTCCCTGCCGAGGCCACAACGCACGTCGCCTACATGCCGAAGTCGCGTTCTCACACGTCGCTCCCCACGTTGTCGAAGCAGTTCGCACGTCACACGACCATTCTCAGTCGCTGCCCCCCTCGTGCCGTTAAAACCGAGAGCAAAGCTCTTGGACCTCTTCTTCTCCCCACGCGAGAGCTCCGAACCGAAGCCCTCTCTCTCGCTGCTTCCTCCACTCCTTCGTAGCTATTGGACTTCACTCCTTCGACGACTGTTCCTTCCAGTCGGAGCGGAAGTTAGGCATTTTTGATCGGAAGCGACTGGGAGCTCGTCGCTGTGAAGTAACTTTCTCCCTACCGTGTGTTGTTCAATCTGGCTCCCTCTTGGCTACCCGATCTCTCCTCCTTCGGCCGAGAGAGAGAGAGAGAGAGAGAGAGAGAGAGAGAGATAGAGAGAGAGAGAGCCACCAACCTAGAGCCTTACCGCGGCCAACCCGTCGCCCCTCTACCACCATTCGACCCCGCTCCATCTACGACTTTCCCTTTCATTTGGATCGGAAGTTAGACATCTTGATCGGAACAAGAACGGGAGCTCGCTTGCTTGAAGGTAACTTTCTCCCTTTCACGCTTCTTTGGCCGAATCCCGTAAGCAGAGAAGAGTGCCCGACGTGCCGGTGGACCCCCTATACGCGCTCTTATAGCACGGTGGGAGGAAATCCGGTGCGATAGGTACGACGATGTGGGTAAGCCCTATACACGCTCTTGTAGCGTGGTGGGGACGGTCCTCGACCTCGACACTGACACTGCCGACGATTGATACGCAAGGTATAATCTCTAAAACTCAGGTTCCCATTTTCGTTGTTTGCGACGGACCGGCAAACCCCCTATATGCGCTCTCGTAGCACAGTGGGAAGAAACCCGGTCCGGCGCCTACGACGAGGCGGGTAACCACCCAAAAATCCAAATCCCATTCTCGATGTTTGCGGCGGACGGGGGAAACCCCTATACGCGCTCTAGTAGCACGGTAGGAGGGAGCCCGGTGCGACGCATACGACGAAGTGGGTAAACCATATACACGCTCTTGTAGCGTAATGGGGAGATCTACCTGTGCTCGCCTACGGATACTATTGAAGACCTCATACATGCTCGAGTAGCATGGTGGGATGAAAAAATGTACGGCCTGGTGTCCCCCGACACCTACCATACACGCTCAAGTAGCGTGGTGGGATGGCCCAGTCTCTCAAATTTTTTCCCTAAATGGGGGAGACGCCGGGAGGTTGCCGAAATTTCGGGTGAATGTACGATCACACTCGGACCTGTTTGAACTCAAAAGAACAAGCATTGAGATTCAAGTGAACAACAGTGGACTCAGACTTGTGGACTTTTGAACTTGATTAAACACGAGCAGGGGACCTGAACAATATTCAAATGATTAATAAAAGATCAAATCCAAATAAAAATAAAATCAAATTGGAGCTGGATTCAAGTCAATTTGAACATGAAAATGAACCTGCAAAGACTCCAGAAGACTTTGAATAAAAAATAAACATACAATTGAACTCAAAGGACTGCACTTGAATATGTATTCCGAACTCAAAACTGGAACAAGATGCGGAGAGCAAGGACTCAAATTGAACTCAAGTTGGACCCAAACTTGATATGAGTAATAAAGGACCTGAACTCAAGGGACCTGAATTTGATAGGACTAGGACTTTGGATGAATGAACCAATCAAAGTCAAAATGCACAGTCGTCCAAGCTAACAACAAGTTGCAAGTGGGAGATGAAATCCTGATGCTCACAAAAAATAAGAATACAACGAACTCCTACGACAATCCCTACGAATGCCTGTTGATTGAGATGACAATGCGGAAGACCAATAGTGGAGGACAGACCCCTACAAGAAAATGCAATCATTCAAAAAATCACCTGAGATTGGTGAAAGGTGGATTCGATGCAGAAACAATGACTCTCCTACGAACACTTCTTGGAGGTCGTAGTGGATACAATGGGTCCCCGTAAATATGCATGAACTGCTTGCGGATAACAATAGTGGGTATATCGTAAGCACAGCGAACCACTGTGAACACACGTACGGATATCACCTATGACAGTGGTGATCAAGATCTTCAAGTACGTCGGGTATAAGGGCAACCCGATATATGAAAGAGGACACCCCCTGACAGAATGGAAGAGATGTTTGAGCAAATTCGAACTAAAACTTCCCGGTGTTCCAAAATTCCTTCTTGATCATATACTCAAGAAGAAAACAGTTTTGATA